CACCTGACGCGCCTGCGCCCACCCGACTTGGTGGCGCGTCACCTCCCCCGGGATCGCCCACCCAAGTGCCAACTCACGTGGCCCCGCCCTAGCGACCGTTGCTAAGGGGCGTGGCTCAGCCCCTCAGAACCCGAGCCTCCTGCGGCTTATAAATATTTGCGTATTCAAATGAGGACCCGCCCACGTTGCCATGGGGCCCAGGCCGCAACCCCGCAGCCGGAAGAACAGCCTGGAGTAGGAGACAGCGCCTGGCGGCGGAGGGCGCCCAGGGCCGAGCTGCCAGGGCCGGACACCTGGGGCTGAGCCCTCAGGTGAGAGCCGAGCACACCCTTGGGGTGGGAGCCACAGGCCTCGCTGTATGCCTGGTGGCAGGAGGGAGCCTGCGCCGAGGCGAGGGCGCGGGGACTAAGCAGCACAGCCAACGGGGACCCAGTGAAGGCCCCGCACGTCAGATCTGGTCCCCTGGGGACCCTTGCCTCCACCACCCCCTGGCCCTGCACTGAAGGGGCTCCCTGTCAGGAGGCAGGAGGGGCCCCAAGCCTTGCCCCTGAGGGAGATGCAGAGGCAAGGACCCAGGGTGCTCGGAGTTCCAGGGTGGGGCTCAGCAGGGGAGCGGGCTCTGCCCTCCCAGTGTCCATGGTGAAGGGGCAAGGGCTGCAGGGGACCAGAGGTGATGAGCTACCCACCAGGGAATGGCACTAGCTGGGGTGTGGAGACAGAATTCCTCCAGTTTCCAATTTGGGGAGCATGGGGGCTCGCAGAGGGGACACAGGGTAGGAACAGGACTTCGAAGTGTGCGGATGAGTTCAGGCCTGGGCGAGAACACCAGGAGCAGTGTCTGAGGTGGGAGTCCAGTAGGGGCTTCGGACTCCACAGCCTCCAACCCCTGGTCCTTGCACCCCTAGGCCTTGGGGCTCAGACCAGCCTGATACTCGGGCTCTTGGGCACAGAGGAGACAAGGGTGGCTGACTCAGCCCTTAGTGCCACCCATAGATGTTCTGGGGCTGCGCATGACCCGGCCAGCTCACGCACTCCATGAGGCTCAAGACTGGCAGGCCTGGGATGGAGGTGGCCAGAGTCTTTGGGGGAACGCAGTGGTGGGTCCTGCTGTGAGGCCTGGGGCCTTCCACCGTCTGGAGAAAGGCAGACAGTGGGGGAGATTCTGGCTGGAAACTCCATGAGACTCTAGTTTGAGCTTACCTTCTTTGATTCTTGGTGCATGGTCACCTTCCAGACCAGGCCACTGAGGCACCCGGAGCCTGAGCCGCTGCCCTGCTCCAACACTCCCGCCCACCACCTCTGTCAACGGCCGGCCAACTCGTCTGGTGCAGGGGCAGCTGTAGACAGGATGGAGAGGATACATCTTCAATGTCCATATGTGGTCAACAGATGAAAGCCACGACCAGAAAGTTCTAAGTGGCTACATGTGCATCTGCCTGTTCACGGATTCCTTCGACAAATATTTGTGCGTCGTCTCCTGCGGCTGTGGATAGCAGAGGAGCACCCAGGCCACGTGCAGGCCACGTGCAGCCCACAGCGCTGGGGCGAGGCAGGCCCTCAACCGAACACATAGTAAGACACACAGGGCTCCAAAGAGAATTTGTCTCATCAGGAAGATAAATCTGGGAAGGCTGGGTGGGGAGAGGCTGGGTGAGGAGTGCTGTCAAGGAGTCAGTCCAGGTCCAGACTGAACAGAGGAAGGTGGTCAGGGAGAAGGATGCTGGACGCTCCAAGCACATTTCTCACTGCACCCCTGGAGCTCGTGATTCCAGGGTCTGCGGCCGAGGCAGATGTCTGCTTTTTTTTTTTTTTTTT